GCGTTTCACATCCTTCGCCCAAGTTAATATATAGGGCCGTGTCCACATCTGTCGAAAAAGCTAGTTTTATATTGCCATGTTTATCATTATCGCAACTCCAGTATCACCCAAAGACAAAGTTACAAATGCCCCCACCATTGTTCAGCCGTGTTGAACATTGAGAAATATCTTTTTCTATGAGTAATTGCCGGATTGTTTTCCTATTTCAGCTTGTTTGATTGGTCTGATACAATCAAATATGCAGTATATGAATACAGCCTCGGCCGTAGCAGCTGCTTCCGGTGCGGCTGTCGCGGACGAGGAGGAAGAACAAGCCCCACGGGGAAATATTCTCAAACTTTGGGGCAATCAGCAAACTATGAATCTGAATGCAATGATCTACACCAATGTCACGCAATCCCCATACTTCAAGGCAAATTTGATTGAACTGAAAACCTATCATGAAGTGATCGATGAGATATACTATAAGGTGATAATTTCCTATCTTTCTCACAACGGGTTTCAAGGTGGAACATTTAGAACCGTGGGAAAGAGGTAGTCGTAAAGTCGGTGGTCAAACTGGTATGTGTGGTGGTGTGCGGGGTGTCGGCGCCGGTGGGATTGTCTCCACCGCATATTGTCTATTGTACAAATTGTTTACATTGAAATTGACTCGAAAGCAGTTAAAAGGTCTTCTTGATCATCCCGATTCACCTTATATTCGGGCTTTGGGATTCATGTATGTCAGGTAGGTATCGACCGATATTATCAGATGCATTCATGTCACAAATCTTTTTCTTTCGTGCGTTACAGATACTGTTTACCTCCGGATGATTTCTGGTGGTGGTATTCACCATATCTTGACGATTCGGAGGTAAGTTTGATGCGTTTCCTTTCATGCTTCCACGCTCACGCGTGTGTACCTACTCGTACAAGCCGCACGCTCAGCCACATTCGGACCGGGGCGGGAGTTTATCGCAGTTGTTTTATGCGAGTTTTTCGGACCTGCCCCCTACTTGAATCGTGCTTGTAAGAGTCTGGGGGATGCATACATCCTCTTTTGATCTCCATTGTGGATTAGTTTGATTCTAATGCACTTTCCACGCTCTATTTTCTATATTTTAGGAGTTGGATGTGAAGGCTGGTGGTGGTTGTATGATGACTATCGGCTCAATGCTCGAACATTGGCTTACAAAATTGGATTGGTTTACGACTTTGTTCCCACGCATTCCGGTTCCCGTACAAAAGAAGTTGGAAGAGAAGTTGCGTTTGCGTCGCTGTCAAATGATGTTACAAAATCCGCCTGCGCACGGCCCACAGGCCACCGAGGCTCGTCGACCGATCAGCCAGAGTGTGCGTGATGTACCCGAGGACGATCGACGGAAACATCATAGCCATTCGCATAAAAGCAAGCATGGGTATGTAATGGCCTGGTAATTTAATTTGCAAATTTGGTCTCCTGCTGTCCTAAATCAGTCAAAGTGAAATTCACGCCCACTTATCATCTAAACGTTGTAGACAATAGTCAATTGGAGGTTACGTTTCCTCCCCAAAACCAGAGTCAACTGTTATATTTGTTGAGTTACTTGTAAAAGGTGATCTTTTTACCAAGTGCCAAATAAGAGACCACAGAATAATAAAATTTATCCCTCAACGAAGCTGTATGCTGTCGGTCTAGTCTTCATGTCACCGATTGGAGAACGACCACTTCGCGCATAGATAGACATCAGTTCACTGAATAATTGGTCACGGAAGATCAGTGACGTCTTTAGATGTGGAAATTTTCGCTTGATCAGCGTTCTCTTTATCAGAAAGTCACAATTGTCCGTAGACAGTTTCGTGACGTATGGGAATCCAGAACGCCGGTAAATAAGATAATTTCCATCTTTGCGTTACCCTACAGGCAGTACTTGGTTGTGCAATCGCTTGAGGTGCCTTCTTAGATAGGAGCAACTCATCCGGAATAGGGTAAAGATGCATGCCAATGTAATCCATAGGAAAGTTCCTAATGTTCGATCATTGGATGCTTTGATACAAAACTCCTTGGTTGTTTTGTTTCCCGTAGTAAGCGCTCGATGTTTGTTTTGAAGGACACCAACCAAGATCGCTTTTTGAATTTATTAAGCATACAGGTTGATTGTATACCTATAAGCTTGCATTTTCAGACATGCTGATTTTATACATTTTCAGCAGTAGCCGATTCCTCACGCACATTTGTGCTTCATGTGAGTGTAATCTCCATTTGTTTTCCCTATTTCGTCCGATGTGGTCTGCAAAACCATTGACCTTGCTCAGTTGCCATGGTTTCGACTTCCCTATATTACAAGACATGTGTGAATTTCTAGTAAACCGCCAGCAGGTTTTTGCATTTCATTAAGAGAATGGCGAGAATGGATAAACTGAATGATCACGAAAACACCACTAGCGAAGACACCTCATCATGGCGTATCATATTATATTATGCCTAACGATGTTATGCCCTTATCTCATATATTCCACTTCAGAAGCGTGCTCCGATGGACACGACCAGGTCCAACTGTTTTCGTATTTTGTCGTTCAAGCTGCGGACAGCACACTTCCCACCTCATTAGATATACCATATTAGAGCAGTTCAGTCCATGTCACACTGTCCCAGTAGTTTGTGAAAGACGAGCACATCGTTTGTGCTGAAGCACATGCCTTATCATTGTTGAAGCAAATTGTTCTTGGTTTCCTATATTTAAAGGGATATCACACTAACTGCTTTACGTTACGTAGACTTGACCAGTACAGGAACGAGATAAATATAGATTGTCAGTGTTCAAACAACTTTGTCTACACCATTGCACGAATCTGATGGGGCAACCTGATAAGTAATACCGAGGTGAGGTGCAAAGTTTCGGTTAATCGCGATCGCCTACTGGAGCCAGTGGTTAACTTCCATAGTTTTGTGGGTTGGATCATTTTTAATGCATGCGGTTTGATGTTTGCCTAGGCAGGTAATATGTGGAAAAAAGATCAAGGACAGTCAAATTAAGATCTGGCTTAGGGGTATCAAAGCCCTACTCAGAAGACTCGGTCATATAGGTCGCCTTCTGCTCCACGGACGGGAACTTCTGGGTCGTCGTAACCGGTGGTTAGAGACACTGAGTGATACGGCTAAGTGTCACAAACAGTGACGCTTCTGCATATTCTCAATTTGTTTGCAACCTTAGTCTACCAGAATCCTCTGTTTCCGCTTTGACACTGCTTTCGTCATTTCAAGTGTCTTTCTTCTCTTTTATCGAAACGGGAAGCCAAAAAACGGGAACCAAAACCGACGAACAGAAGTGCATGACTAGTGTTTGTAAAAACTGAAACTGAACTCAACACAAACTTTACGAACCAATGCGATATTGATTTCATTCAGATTATCACCAAATGTTGCTTTATGTGACAGCCAAATGCCTTACATGTCTGAGAGAGCGAAACAAACGTTCGTGCACCGCTGACCAAGCTGCAATGCTATCGGTTACGTCTTTTCAAGTTGTGTGCTGAATTTCAGTCAAATGAAGCTGGCAGGAAGACAGTGGTCCGTTGATTCGGGAAACTACGAGGTCGTGGTCAGAATTATTCTTCCCAAAGGCTTATTCAAATTTGTTGTAATAATACGCACACACACACACACACACACACTTCTGACCACGCAACAGCCTACTGTGCACTAATCCCTTCCGTGTGAAACCAGTAACCGTGGTTGTCGAATTTCCTCCCTTTTCTTCTTTCTTATTCGATTCATTATACACGGGAATATGCGTGAGTGTCTTCCGTGGTCTCCGAAATATAAGGATTTAATGACTGGCTAGAGAAGAACTTTAGGCTAAGTATATTGTTTGTCGGCCCACATTGATAGTATTGGAAGCCTACAGAATCCGCACTCGACAGATCTGCGCAAGCAATGATTTTCCGTGGACTGCGAACTACGTATCAAGTATTCTTACTTTGAAACCCGGCAATTAAGCATTCAACATGGTTGTTTGTTTCCTCCTACCTCGGGGGTTGCATAACCGATGACAGTATAGTACAGTTATAGGTGTAACCGGCTCCTCAGTTAGACAGATAGCTTATTATTCGTTCACCAGCCCAGAACATCTAATTTTCTCTTTCCCACTTTAATGAACATACTCCTCCGCGAGAAGGCCGTGAGTAGGGCTTCCCAGCAGGAATCATGAATACAAATCATGTGAGAGAACTTCAAAAGAGCCCTGGGAAGTTAAAACGCGTCTACTGAAACACCTACTCCCGACGATACTAAGGCTTTTGACCTGAGACGTGTGTGAGAAAAATGATATTTCACTAAACTCGAAGGTCGCACGCGTCCTGTACTAGTGTGATCAATTATTTTTTACCGTACTGAGGCTGAGTTTTTGAAGATGTCGGCCAACTCAAAGACATCGATGGTTGACCTTTACGTTTCAACCCAAGTAGAATGGAGCAACGGTGGTATGTTTTGAACTCTCTCATCGGCACTTTTATTCTCTCAGCGAACTCACTAGCAGACTACTGGTTAGGTCACTTTGTGCAATTTTTCAGTACCAGTATAGCGCTACAATCACATACGCAGAAAAATAGTGGGAGTTTTGATGTGGTCGAGTCAGACAGCTGAGTTTAATGAATGACAGCAAACGAATGAGGGCAGAGAACTAGAGGTAATATTGCCGCTCCCCCGTCGACATACTACACTTGTCATTCACAGTTGCGATATCGCGTCCATTGGGGTCGTCTAGATTTGCTAACTTACGGGACCACTGTGGACGTATTAAAACAGCCCGTTCCCGATGCCTACATGAGGAGAACAGTGTAGCTTGATTGATTACTAAGTTTATTTGCAGGGTGATTTCATTGCATCTCAACTGATACGTATTGCACAAAATCGCAATCGTATAAGAAAGGTTTGTGAACCGAAATCCGATTCCGACTTATTTAAAACACCACCCATGACCCATTCCAACAGCTCACACCAACGAAATACAACCGCTTCAACTCGTCGTCCACATTTAATACTGTATAAATCATTGGTTCATAGTTGCCGTGTTGAAATTCAACAGCTGCATGCTTTTTTGTTACATTGGCGGAGCTCCCTATGGTCACCAACTGTAGGCTCTGGTTTAAATTATAGTTGTAACACGAATGACGGTAGGTTCCAGACTGACACTTCCATCAATCTTTAAGTGATCTTTCTCGGCCCACTCGGTCACCAGCGTTAGCTAGGCGACTGACAATTCAGGTAATATTGGTTTGTCGTAGCAGTTCGCTTTGGACTCATCCATTCTCATGTGTTCCGTTGCTCCAATTTGCCTCTTTCGTTCTGTTGTGTTCATGTAAATGGTTTTACGGCCACCTTGCACTTGCTTGGTAATCGATAACTCAGTTGGAAAAATGGATTTTTATTCAAAATCTTGTGAATAGAAATTGTTTCATACTGAACCAGTCGACTCACCTTACCATTGCTGCTCATCAACGATATTTCAATTCAGTGTCTATAATCACTGTATTTCATTCAGAAGTGATTGATCGGCAGTGATCACAACTGAAATATCAAAACACTAAACTGAGTCCAGAAGACCCTAGTCAACTTAGTTGTGGTAAATTTTTTTATGCGGTGGCCGGTCGGGAGTCGTCGGCAGCGTGGATCAGTGTTGTGTCCTTGTTCGAACGCGAATCACAGATGTGGGGATTGGGAGCCGGCGTTCTCACATAGGATCAACGGTGAACTACTTGAGAGCATAGCTATGTTAATTTTGGATTATCCACTCTCACAGACACGACCTCTTCTGGTGGGGAAAAGTTGAACCCCCAACGAGTGAAACCAATAGCCCAAAACAAAGGAAGTTTAAACGTCACTTCAAATGTTTGTGGAATCGAATGAATTCGTCCAAACGTGACAAATGCGATATTCCCATCTAGTCTATTCGGAATTCTTTCATAAAATTTACTATGTAACCGTTGCTTGAAGAACTATGCACGTGTGCTGGTTAATACAATGGAGTGGTCCTATCAAGCGCAATAGCTCATCATTTGTGTTTCAAACAGCCTATCGATACATGTGCCTGGAATCGCAAAAATCCCAGACAGTTACACCACCACACAACTCTTCGTTGACCCGTGTTACTTTCGTGCCTTATGAAGACGCCATATCCTAATTGTTTAGTGGCATTGTTGGAATTCAAATCCCTTCCATCATGTACTGCCTCTTTAACGAGTAGAGGCGATTGAGTTGTCCCAAAATGACTCGATATGATAAATTTTGTTTTATTAATCCTTTTTATCCATTTGCTATTTATACCCCTTTACTTTCTGTTCCGTTTCATCGTAACCATCTGGCAGTGTTCCTACAGTTTTAAATATGTCATTAGCCGGTTAGATCTCGTAGCTTTTGCTTTTGCTATTTTTGGTCTCTGTTTTTGTGTTTCATTTTTCATCACTTATTTCAATGCGTACAGTTTCTCGTTTACTAAACGAAACATAGTGATCAATTTTGATATTATGATCAAGATCATGATGCCAATTCTTACCGCGTAGGTAAACTGAACGACTCTGTCAAACTGATTTATCCTAGAAAATATGCTCCCCTAAACCCGAGCGTTATTATCGCGATGACCTCAACGTAATTGTTGTCTGATTTGAAGCTGCGCGTAAGAACCGTATCGTGTCTCAACGAGACGTCTTTTTTGGACTCCCTTGTTTAGCCTCAGAGACGTGGGTCAGCGGAAAAACGAACAACACACTGAATCATTCCAACTATTTTCCCTTCTGTTGTTGCTGGGCGATGCGTGATACTGTCAAACGGGTTCTATTTGCAGTCATCGAAATACACCTCGTAGTTCACCACCGACATATCGGTTGGTCATGCCTCAGATGTGTTGGGCAATATATCCAGTTCTGCTATATTAAGCAACATTCATGTGATTGAACAACAATCACCAATCGTGTATGAGTGCATAGATCTCTCCATTATCGAAACAGGTCAGTTGCATGCGGCTTTTTGTTTATCTGAGCTGAAAAGAGGATAAAGATTCACAGGCCAAGACCTGTGCACCAGTAATATTAAAGTAGTTGGAATAATTCAGTGCATATTGTTATTTTTCAGCTAATCTCTAAGGCTACACGAGGAAATCCAAAAGAGGCGTCTCCTTAAGACAAAATGGTTTTTGCGTCCTGCCTCAAATCAGGTAACGAATGCGTCGAGGTTATAGCGACCGTTACTCCTGCGTGCGAGTGAGTCGTGCTCCTAGTAGTTGTTACAGTGTACATTAGACTTACAATTCAGCCAGATGCAATCAGTGCCATGAATACCAAACTGTCATATGGTTGATCGGGTTGCGCGTGGTAATAGTCTAGTCAACTAAACTTCTGAATAGTATGGTTTTTTACTGAGCGACGAAAAAACGTTCACTCTGATGTACTTCTGGCACGATCTGTATACGGGCAAACTGACCTTCAGCCGTCAAACCCATAGTGAGGCTGTGTATTGGTACGGAATGCCATTTTTTCGGTTGGAGAGTTTCAACACCATGGACTGGATTTGAACCCGATTGAAAGTGTCTGGGATCCAGTTCCTAGACAGGTTCGCGCCTACTCCATACTTCGTGAGCTTAGAAGCGATCAGCTTGATTCGTTTCACTGTGATGATGATGATTTTTCCGTACTGTTCACAGATTCAAGCCAATTATCGTTCATCAGTAAAGCTATTTAGAAGTTCAGGTATTCCGAGATATGATCTGATGTGTGCTTAGTTTTTTTACCCCAGTCACGATCAGTAAAGCTTATTGTGTTCTGTCACCCCTGTGTCCATCATTTTCCTGGTATCAATTCATAGTTTAGCACGGTCATGATTGAAATCCATTTATTTTTCATATATGACAATAAATTCACATAATTATCACGCCACATTCGATCACTTTGGATGAATTAACTACCGAGAAATCACCAAAAACATGGTTAAATAGCGTAAAGTACTTTGTATATTGTGGGGTGTAACTTTTAGCTGCATGTCGCCTCATCATTGTCAGTTTTTGGTTGTCTGAGCATCTTTTTTTATTGATTTGAGCTGGCTATCGTTCGGACTTCACTTTCACGCACAATTCTCAGTTCACCGATTCAACCATACTGTCGGAAGCACTAGACTCTAGTTTCGCTCTTACATACTCAGCTCAAATCAATAAAAATCAATTATCCCACACCACTACTCACAAGTAACTGAGTCAAATGCGAAGCCTAAATATCTAACAGTTCATAGAGGAATGGCCTAGAGTTACGAAACAAACCATATCCTGAGGGGACATTGGGGTTAGTTTTGTGTGACTCCTCTCCTGTAAACTTATTTCTTTGCTTTTCGCCTGCCTTGTTTATTTGTCAGAGATCGTGAACGGCATCGACACCATGGTCACCGATCCCGATCGCGGTCCCACGAACGTCGCCGTTCTCGATCACCTCGTCATCGGGAAAGTTCGTTCGAACGTGATCTGCGACGGGCACGCGAACGTCAGGAACGCGATCGACGAAGAAGTCGAAGCTGACCGGATACACTAATTTGCTCGCCTGCTATCTGCCGCGTTCCATTTCCTCCTTGTGACCGACTTGAATGAGCATTTCTGACCCGCACTGGTTCGGATTGTATGTATATGCGTTGCTTTTTGCTGTTAGAGATGCATTCGACTGGCTGTTCCAAACATTTATACACAAATAAATATATCCCTACCCTTAACCGGCCTTGATTTTCATTCTGTAAAAGGGCAGTAGTATGTGTTATTGTATAGGTAGTTCAGCAACGAAATACGACTGTACTGTAAGTTGGCAAGTCCCACAGTCACGTGCATTTGTGGTACGAGAAGATCACCCGTGACCGATGCACCTGAGACGATTTAGTCATTTCTTTGTTGCAACCCATCGGGTAACAGTTATCTGAGGGCTCTCTGGACTGGTTATATCTTTGTCCACGGCTTCCATTTGCTTGTTTTCTTTTCGTGGTGATATTCCGATGCTCCTTTAAAATTCAAGACGTATAGGGAATCATTTTTAGATTCGTCAACAGCACTTGTTCGCGTATCTCGGTTTGCATATGCGGATCGCGACTGATATGGCACTGAGCGAGTTTTCTCTAATTGTTGATGGTTTCCACTGGACCGGCAAAATGGGTCATGGCCTATCCATTTGCTCGCTGTTGATCGATTTCATTTCACTTTTTCCAAATCGGTCTAGGTTGGCTTACGTTAACTAATGCTGTAGAACCTCGTGTCTCAAATCTCTTTATACTTGATAGAATTTACGGAAGAGTATCACCCGCGGCAACAATCTCTCCGTAATTTCATGTGGTATTCTTTATCTACTGGGCGGAAGATTGGCACTTTTCACGGGGAAAATTCACGAAGAAACGAAAGAGGTAGTAGCATTTTTAACCATTCATTGGGGGCTAGCATGAGCAATAATAGCCCATTCCGAACGTAAAATCTGGAAATTTACAGCAACTGGCCAACACGTGAGCGATTAACTCTTGCAAACGTTCCAAGTTGAAGTGGAAAAAATAATGAATAATAGTTGACCACTATTGCCTCTAACAAAAGTTAATGGCAATCTGAGAGTTGTTACACCAGCAAATAAACTAAACTTCCGGCTGTACCGCAGTATAGCGGCGCTTCAGCCGACAGTTTCGCAACGGCGTTTTTCTCTTCTTGCCTCTTGCTTTTCTTTAATCTTCCTGATAGATCTATTCAAACTGGACGTAATCATCAAATTACGGACCAAAAGCACCTGTACCCTACGCTGGTGACTAGCATCAGGACAGGTTAAGTTTCCAACCAGTCATGTATAATTGAGGACTATCAGGATATGGTTATGAAACTAATCGACACATACGGCCTGTCTATAAGTCTTCTAACGAATCTCAAATAGCGCGCGTGTCTCGTTGCCCGAGGTAGACAAAAACACTCGTGGTGGTCGTAGACGTTTATTAGCGTGTCGTGGTACTAGATAATACCAAATACGTGCCAAGGTGACGCTAAACAATGCAAGCAAATACATGCAGTAGCAAAACGAAAGCATGTCACACTTGTTGCGTGGGTTTGAACAGGACCCAGCCTATATATACAGTTGAGTGGAAAACCGTGTTCAGTAAAACAAAGGAATATCACAATCGGAGTCAGAGTTTATTGGGAAGAAAATATGAACCGAAAACGTCTTCGTTGATTGCTTCTATTCTTCGTACAATCATGGTCACTACAGCAGCCCCCTGGTAGAAAGCAAGCACAAGCTTTCGATTCATAACCGAGTTCCAGAAACAGACAATCGTTAGCGAGTGTGGCCGTGCTGCAAGACTTACTGGCAGAATCGTTGGTATGTGTGGACTGTTTTGCGTCGGTCGCACACGAACCAAATTCGTTGCGTTGGATGTCAGCATGGGAACCATATTGACGTATCCTCAATCGTTCCTTGGATAATTCACACCATCCGAATCGTTAGCTGCACCATGGTGTCAGGTGGCTCTCGTCGTTTCCAGCGTCCGTGATCGTTGGCGTGCCAGAATGAAAGAAGACCACTTGTTGTCCATGTATGCGACCGTGGAAACGTAAATCATCTTCAACAAACTCTCGAGATCCAAAGGGGCCACGATCGTGCGAGAGAGTGCCAAAATTCTCGTTGAACCTCGAGGCAACCAATGTGCGTTTCGTATAACCTGATCTCCGGAAGTAAAAGATTGTCGGAGAAAATCGGAATATGTAGCATCTTTTGATAACGAATACGACGGCCAGTGCTTCCTTATCGAGTTGAAAGTAGTTCTTTTCCGCCGATTGGAGGGTCCGTGACGCAAAGGCTATCGGACGGATAATCCGGTCAGAGTCTGCGTGCCCGAGTACAGCGCCTACCCCAAATGGTGAGGCATCGCATAGCGGCTTTCCAGGATAATGGTGTACTAGTAACCTTCATGAGGTCAGCAGACGTTAAGCTTCTACAAACGCTTTGTTCACCTCGGGACCAAGTCCAACGAGTTTTCTCCTTAACAGGCCATAGGGCGGAGAAAGAACGATGAAAAATTCAGTATGAAACGACGTTAGCGGGACATTATTCCTATGAATGATCGTAGTTCAGTTTCGTCACGCGGTACGCGTGTATTCACTATCGATTTCGCTTTTTTATGTAGCGCTTATAACCCGTTCTGATCGAGTCGGTAGGTCAGGTTATCAACAGATTCGGCCAAGAAGACGCAATTGGATTTCTTCAGAAGTAGCCCTTTATCTAAAAGACGCTGTAAAACGCAGTTCAGTGTCTCCAAGTGCTCCTTCTCCGTTCGGCCCGTGATGAGTATATCATCCAGATGGGCATATGCGTTTGGAATATCTCGCACCCGGTTGCCTATGATCCTTCGAAAAATTCCTGGGGCTGTATTGCTACCAAAAGACAACCAAAAAGACACTATATCTGTTGGTGAAAATTCCATATGAACGCTGAGCGCAGTGCCAATGGGGTAACGTTTTTCCCTCCTAGAAAAAGAGTGTTACCGAGTAAGTCAAATCTCTCTTGAACGAGGGGTGCCCGGTTCCGAGGCTGACTTTTGTCCCTGCATCTCTCCTTTCACTCTATGACGAATGCTGATCAACTATGAATGACTACTGGACTGTTGTTGTGATCAGGGTCCCATGAATACTCCTCCACCAACATCCAACTGATTCAGCCTGAAGAAACAGGTCTCTACCCTACCGCATGAGAGACTTGAACCCTAGGTACTGACCATTTGAGATTGTATTGGATTACGCATACCCTGTTTATGATATACCGTGAGATAGTCACAGCTTTCGTCAAGCACTCAGCGTTGTACTGTCGTTCTCGTTATGAGCCCATAACGGACCAGTAAGGATGTTTACCAGTATACCCATCACAAAGAGACTTCACCTTGACGTGGTGTGATGGCTTGCGTGCCTCAATGGCCCTGCGAGCTACACAGGATGGCTTCTCACAGCTGTAAATCCAATCATGCCTGAAAGGTCTACGGGTAGAGACCAAACAAAGCTCAGTCTTACAAAACCAGCTGCTTGGGTACCTCCTGGCTTCCTTCCTTCTATCCACACCTGCCCCCGGGGAGGCCACTCCAGCAAAAAAACCCCGCTAGATGGACGTAGAAGCGGGGTGTCTGGGGCTTTATTTCGACGGTGGAAAAGATCTTCGCACTTCATTGGACAGCTACCGCCCGCCCAAGCTGGGCAGCCCCTCCGTCAATAAGGTGTAGTCCCGTCCATGTTCCGTTTGTATCATTGGGTGCATGAGGCTAAGCGCTGATCCCGAAAAGCGGACCGATAATCAACGCAGCAGCGAACAACAAACTTAGCTGAAATTCAAAGGCCTTGCGTGAGAGGTCCGCAGATGCTCCCACACGGGTGCTTCCTTCACGCTCCTGCTTTGGATTTACGTCTCACTACGTTGTGGGTCAGACTCCTAAGTTAAAGGCTCCGCTTAGGGTTCCCAATGAATAACCCCTTCGTCGGTGTGGGCTACTGCGAAGTAAGTCTTAGGCACTCATTTGGAAAAGCATCCTCCCTATCTGTCTAGTTCTTCTTCTCAAACCCCGAACAATCCCAGAATCCTCTTGTTTACGCCACCCATCGAATATCACTCAGCTTTTTACCATCAAGACCAGAGATTCAGAAGCTATAGGATTTTTATAGCCAAAATCCCCTTTTAACTTAACCGCTTTCAATGTCCACACGCTCCATCAGATTGGCCAACAAGATGCCTCGGCTAGAACCCTCGAAACTTCCATTAATAATAATAATATGTGCATATTTCACGGAGCCCCGTGAGGCATGCATAGGCAGGATCAAATGTACAACATAATCCTCCACACAGGAGAGGCCCAAAAGGAAAAAAACATTGAAGGTCGCAGTGAACATAATTACAAATGGAACACACAGTGGACAAGTTATCAGATGAAAAAAGTTTGAGGATGACGGAATGCTCGAAATGAGCAAGTCGGATGAAGTAGGACGAAAAACAAGAATCGTTATAGCGGATGAATGCTGGGATGATTGAAAACACGACAAGCAGTGAGTAAAATACGAAGAGGCGGCCTGCAGATCGTTGGACGGAAACCGGCACAAGAGCGGATAGGGTGAAGCAGAACAGAGTGAAACTGTCATGGAATATATATGCACTTCACGTAGTGAAACAGATGAGTTCTGAAGGGTTTTGTTCGATGGTCTCAGGGGCCCCGATCAGCAGTGGTTTGATTTGGGTTACTTACGTTATTTAGGCGTTGGTCGATTTGATGTGGGACTGACTAAACGCTAGGCGCCCAACCTTAAAACACCTTGTAGGTGAGGCAGGGGCTGCGTTCCTCTACCTGGTCCGGAATGCGGACGCATGTAGTCAAAGCGGTGGATTTAGCCGCGCCCAATAACCATTGCCTGTGTCAAATTGTCCATTGTGGTTGTAGACCCCAAGCCTTCGTCAGGCCCAAACCAACCGGATCTGGAGTAGGGAGGCGAACATCGGCAGTCTGGGGTGCAGCCCAGCTGAGAAGGGATTGGGG